GATAAGATATTATGGAGAATTATTATTATTATTATTATTATTTATCTAGACATTATTATTTTTTATTATTTTAGTCTTTGACTCTTTTTAAATTTGAATGTATGAAATTTATTTTGAAATCTTATCAAATGTCAAAAATCCATGAAAATTCTACAAAATCCACAAAATCCCACAGAATCCATTAAAATCATGATTTAAAAGTCTTGCAGAATCCATTAAAATCCTGAATTTAAGTCTTGTAGAATCCTACAAAATCGTAAAAGTCATGAAAATCCTGCAAAGTCTTTTAACATTCGCAGGATTTTTTTTAACTAAAAAAGTCATTTAAAATCCTAATCCAATACACCCCCCTTAATATGATTTTTAGTGATAATAAAAATTGTTGCAAAATCTTTTATCAGCATTTTTACATTAGCGATTGTATGCAGTGTCGTTAAAACATTTATCGACAATTATTCTGCATGTTGGTAAAAACTCTTATAATGGTCGAAAAAAATGTATAAGTTTTTGTGACATTTTTTTACTAGTATTTAATATTTTTTGCTATTGCTACTAAAAGTTTAAGAAATGATTCATAATACTCTTAAATTACCTTATCTATATTCGATGTAAGATGATGGTTGTCCTCTACTTATATATTCTTTAATTATTTTTTTTAAATTTTCTTATCTCATAATTAATTATTTTATTTATAGTCAATATGAGATTTGGGTTTTTCCCTTATTTTTTAATTGTTTTATCTCTTAAGAGATGTGAGACTTGCAAGGTGGGAGTTGCTCTCTACTTACATACTCTTTAATTATTTTATCTATAGTCGATGACTCGATGTGAGACTTAAGTTTTTCCAAATACACTCTCTCAAGTTTAGCACTACTGAGTTTAGTAATAACGAATAATCTGATAACAACTTAAAATAGTAAGTTATAGGTCTAACTCAATCCTACAAAATAAACTAGTAAGGTAAGAGTTATCATCCATTTATATACTCTTTAATTATCTTATCTCTAGTCGATGAGGGACTTGAATTTTTTTTAATAAATAATTTTCACTAATAATAAATTTTGGTGTGATGTAAATATATATTTTAGTAGTTATTATATATTAGTCATTAATATTTTTATTAGATAATAAAATAGAGGTAATTAATTTATTACCATTAAATAATTATCAGTAATAATAAATTTTGTTATAATATAAAATGATCAAAGTAATATTAAGCCTATAATATACCATAGCTCAGAGTTTTAATAATTTTTTCAAGTGAGGTTTGAGAAATAATAGAAAAACCGATTCATCCTATTAGAAACAGTAATAATAAGATAAAATAATAAAAATAGATAAGAGTATTTAAAATATGTGTTTAAATTAGAAATAAACATACTTTACATATATTTTTAGAAATCTTTTAAAGACATTGAAATTGTCCATGTGAAACGACTAAAATGTCACTAGTTTGTAAAGAGCGTTTAAAATTGTAAAGAAAAACAAATAGTATATATAGAATAGTTTGTAATGGTCGAAACTTCACTTTGAGTTTTATATGAATTGGATGAATTTTCTCTAATTCTCTCTCTCAACTCAAAGCTTGTTTCTCTCCTTGAAACTTCATTTCTCTTATTCTCCCTTAAGTGCGGTGAGATTTGGAGGGATTTATCACTCCATGAGTGTGGCGTCACCAAGGGAGCTCTTTACCTCTTCATGTGTGCTTGAAGGTGACTTCTAACACCTTTAGAAGCCATTGGAGAAGCTAGGAGGAGACCAAGAAGGAAAAGATCCATTCAAGGAACTTGGAGAAGGAAAAGATCCATTCAAGGAACTTGGAGAAAGAACTACATCAATCTAATCTCTCCAAGGGTTTTCCATCAAAGGATGTCTCCTTAGTAGGGATATTAAGAGTTATAAGGTGAAGAGTGTCTCATATGGGTTATGAAGGAGGGGTCCTTGAGAATAAAAGTTTGTTATATTCTAAACCTTAATCTTTAGTGAAGAAATCTAAATGTAGCATGAGGACTTGATGTAGGTCAAGTTTGACTGAACCAGGATAAATTTAATTGTGCTAATTTAATTATTTATTTGATTTTATTAATTTGAATTGAATCTAAACTTTTCTAAGCCTAAAAATTCAAATTAACTTGGCAACCCAATTTTCTTGTCTTTCTAAATCAAATAATCTTTAAAACTTAAATTTTTTGGAACATGAAAATATTTTATTTTAAACTCAATCCACCCCTCTTGAGTTATTGAGGCCCCTTGGTTAACATAGATGACTCGGCGAGCATTTCAAAGTTTCACTAGTTTCAATCTTTGTTGACAAAAATAAAATATTATGTTTACATTTAAAGTCAATTATAATATTTAATATATGAGTTTCATTTATGTGTAAAAGTCTAAAAGTTTAGGAACAACCACGAAGATTATGGTGGCCAATAAATTAAAGTAGCATCATTGAAAAACCAATGCGAAGACTCGGGTAATTAATACGTAAATAAATTCATTGAATTGAATGAGTATATAAATGAATTAAGGACGTTTCAAAGTTCTACTAGTTTTACTCTTTGTTGACTAAAATAAATCACTTTAAATGAACATACAAAGCCAATTTTCATATATATAATATTTTACTATCAACTCCCATTTTGATAGAACTATATAAAAAAATATAGACCTTAGATCAATGATGAAAAATTATAAAATAATAAAGTTTTTAGATTTTTTTGAGATACTAAAAATGCTTATAATGGCTAAAGTGGGGGGTTATGTTTCTAGTGGAAAGGAAAGAGGATAAAGCTCACTATCATATGCTATTTTTTCTTAATTCAACTCTCTCCCCAAGATAAAAAATATTACTTGACCAATTTGATAAGATAAGAAATAAATAAAATAAATCATATTTTATTAGTGTATAAAATACTAATAAAAACATAATGGAATAATGGATTAAATATTGTGGAGAAAAGGTAAACACTGGAAAAAAAAAAAGGTGAATAGTATCAATCAAAAACTCTCATTTTTTCAAGTAATTAAGTAATGATGCTAATAGTAAATAGTGTTGAAGAAAAGACAGATAAAACATAAGGTATTTTTTATACTGGTTTGTTTCAACCATCGAGACCACGTCTAGTTCTCAATCCAACTAGATTGAGTTCAACTATCTTAAACAAGATACAAGTATTCTTTCAACTAGCCACTTATGGCTTAAACTTAAGTATTAATTGAAGTGTCTCTTCAAACAATCTACCAAATTATTCTTTTCACACAAAGTCTCTTCAAGCTTCAATACCAAGTATTCTTTTACAATCAAATCTCTCAAGGCTCAAACAAGTATTCCTTTACAGTCAAATCTCTCCAAACTCAAACTAGTATTTTTCTATAGTCAAGCTTCTCTAGACTTAAACAATTATTCTTTATAGAAAAGTCTTTTTAGACTTAAAAAGTATTTTTTTTACAAACAAGCCTCTTTAAGCTTAACCCTACAACAATGGTTATATCTGGGTAAAGTTTTACAAATGTTGTTTTGTCTTATAAACAAGACATGATACAACCAATTAAGAATAGAAATCTTTACATAAAGAATGAATGAATGATAATTTCTACAAAAGGTTATCTCTGAAAATTTTTGTCAAAATTTCTTATTTTTGATCGTGAAGCTTCTTATATAGTAGCCCAGATAAAGATGACCATTGCAAAACTTGAGGATTTTTCATAATCTTGCTTTATTTGTCTTTGTTCCATGTTCCTTGAGGTGAGAAGTGTTTTTTGATGCATTAAATGCATTTCACCAAATTATCACTTCTTATCATATCAAGGAGGCTATTTATCAACTTTAGGATCCCAAACATATCATTTATAATGTGTGTCAACAAGGAGTAGGTTCTGCGTTGACTTTTGTTGATTTTTTCCAAGATTTCAAGGATTCGTTTTTCCTTAGGCTCGTGCAAAGCATGACTTCATTCACTTTTATAGATTTATGATATTCAAAGAGCTTTCTTAGTTTGATTTATTAAACAATCAGTTAGACAAACAACAAGTAGTTGTTAGTCATCATAAATGATATGCTTTTAAGATTTTATGAACTCAGAATATATGCTTTGTATGATAACACATCATCTATCTAACGATTTACATCTTTATGCATCATCTAACTTGTATTCTGCAAAAATATTCTCTCTTAGAAAAATGTTCTATTTGTTAACATTAAAACTTGAAAGCTTGAGGGATCTAAGATCGTTTTTTGACTTAACAAATATGTTTTTAGTCCTTAAACTTTTGCCAATTTTTCTTGTCCTTAACATTTTGTTTACTAATTTTAATCTCTAAACATTCTTCGATTTCCACTTTTAGCCCTTTAGCATTTTCTCGTTAACATTTTTGGTCCCTAGTGTCAATTTTTTTTTGTTCATGGAGAAAAATTTTAGGGACTAAAACCAAAAAATATTTTCTCAAAGATTAAAAATAATAGTTTGACAAAATTTTAGGGACTAAAATCATATTTAATCCTAAAATAATTATAAATGAACCCTTAACTAATAAATATGGTTGACTTAATGAAAATGAGATGGTAAACTCTTAATCATGTAAAGTATTGTCATTCCTACATATAATTTTATTAATTTTATCATTGAAAATTTTCAAAACAAAGTTGTAGCAATTGTATGTATATATTTTTATTGAAAGGAATTGCAATGACAACAACATGGTTTGAGCCTAAGATCCTATGCAAACTACCCCATGAAGGCATAAGTATTTCAAAAATATAAATATTATTTGAACAATAAGTTGTGCAATAAATTTTTCAATTAAGAGAGAGAAATATAATAAATGTTATGTCGAAGACAGATAGATACAAAAATTGTGTACAAATTATTTGAATAAAATTTTTCTAAAATAGTTAATATATACAATTAAATGTTTTAGGGATATTTTGGTAAATGAACCATTTCCATCGAGTATATAAATTAAGCTACAACAAGTTGTATATTTCAACATAGTCCAAGTGCAATTCCAATAGCCTTTACTCTTTGTATTGTCTTCCACCCCTAGTTAATATCCCTCACCATTTCTCAACAATGATGCCTGAAATCATTGATTTGACAAACTCCTCTCCATCACCACCCAGGTCATCTAATGCATCCATAGTCCTTGGTTCTACTAGACAAGTAAAATTTGAGAATGCTCATTTTCCCTTAATTGTTGGCACAAATCCCAACTTGAGTCAAGCAAGCCAACAACAAATTGTTACTCCTTGGCCAACTTTTGACCAAACCAATGTGCCTTCTCAAATTGTTACTAGTTTCCAACCTAGCATGCAAGGTGGGATTGTTACAACTGAACCAAACAAATACTTGGTTCCTCATGGAGCTATGCTGAATGAGCCTTGGACCCAAAGAGATCATGAGTTTGTTCCTTCAAACTTAATCTAATTATATATATATATATATATATATATATATAT